GGACCATTCTATACATGTTGTCTCACTTCCTTTAATGGCCCCTTGAGGTTAGAATTATTGAGGTGTCACCTGAGGAAATTGAGTCTCTCTTTATTTATTATTTTTTTAATCCTCACCTGAGGATATTTTCCCATTGATTTTTTTCAGATAGAGTGGCAGGGAGGGAGAGAAAGAGAGAAGTATCGGTGTGAGAGAGACACATTGATTGGGTGCCTCCTACATGACCCCCTTCGGGGCTGGGGATCAAACCTGCAACCCAGGTACATGCTCTTAACCAGGAATTGAACCCAAGACTCTTTGGTCTGTGGGATGATGCTCTAACCACTGAGAAAACTGGCCGGGGCAGGAAATAGAGTCTTTTTTCTTTTCTTTATTGATGCTAGAGAGAGAGGAAGGGAAAGGAAGAGATAGAAATATCAATGAGAGAGAACATCGATTGGCCGCCTCCTGCATGTCTCCCACTGGGGACCTGGCCCCCAACTGGGCATGTGTCCTGACCGGGAATCAAACTGGTGACCTCTTGGTGCATGGGTTGATGCTCAACCACTGAGCCACACCGGCCAAGCAGAAAATTGAGGGTAAAGTGCCTGTGGTCCTAGGTGTGTGAGGAACAGTCAGATTTCTGGCTATCTCAAGAGCCTAGGTCTTTCCAGATCACCGTGCATTTTCACTCTATTAGCAAGAAGCAGACAAGAGGGCGAAGGTCAAGCCCCCAAGGTTCTCAGCTGGAAGGGACCCTTGCACCCCTCTAGTCTACCCTCTGCACTGTTCTGGGCAGGTGGGGGTGAAGTTTCACCCAGGTGGCCCCCAGGCCAGGGGCTCACTGCCTTCCCAGGCAGCCCATTCCACCACTGGACAGACTGACACGAACCCAACATGATTTATGTGGTCTCCAGAGCCCATCCCTTCCTGTTCTCCCACTCTGGACTTCACTCAAGGCTGTCCGTGTCTTAGAACTGGTCATGATTTGTCAAATCAGGGACGGCCAGTGAGTGTCAGCACACAGACACCATCCCGGTGGAGGTGGTTGCCAGAGCAAGTGTGGAGGCCTCTGGCCGGGGCCAGGGGATGAGGCGCTGCACCCCGGCTGGGGACCGCCAGCCGCTCTGGGTCCAGGCCTCCTCTGGCTCCTTCCCTCCAGGTGGAACCTAGCCAGATGGGGGAAATGAATGAACAGTTACACTCCAGGTCACCCGTGTGTCATATAAACTGTGTGTCTCAGTCTTTCTGCCCCCAATCTGTGGCCAAGATCCCAGCTGCAGCAAAGCACCGTCTGCTCCAAACACTAGTCCTGGGTTTTATCTCGTTCATTCGCTGTTAGGTGCCTGTCCTGGAGCGGGGGTATCGGAATACAGCAATGAGCAAGAATGGGTCTCTTGCCTTCTCGGCTTTGATGTGTGTGCTAGTCTCTCTCCTGGGTTAGAGACTGAGCAGGTGATACACTAAATATCCTGGCGGGGGGGGGGGGGGTGCCTTTTGGTCACTGGCATCTCTACTCTTTCTCTAACTTCACCTTCTGACTCAGTGGTAACTCGCCCCCAAGCCCAGAGCGGCTTCAGAACACAGGCTGTCTCTAGATTGTGGAGAAATGGGGCCACCTACTGGCCAGCCCCAGTCCTGAGCCAGCTCACTGTTCGCCCAGAATCTTCTCTCTCATTCTTTTTTGTTGTTGTTGTTAATCCTCACCGGAGGGTATTTTTCCATTGATTTTAAGATAGAGTGGTAGGGAGGGAGGGAGGGAGAGAGAAACAGCGATGTGAGAGAGACACATTGATGGGTTGCCTCCTGCACAACCCCAGTGGGGTTGGGGATCGATCCTGCAACCCAGGTACATTGACCGGAAATCGAACCCATGACCCTTCGGTCCTCGGGCTGACGTTCGACCCGCTGAGCCACACCGGCCGGGCACACATTTGTTAATTTTGATAGACATGGCCAAATTACCTCTCTCCAGCGATGTGCAAGTGTTGCCCCTCACACCCTAACACAACGTGTCCCGCACTGTTATCTTGGCTGGTCTGATAGGTAAAAATAGTATCTCGGTGTGGTTGTAGCTGTGTTTATCTTACTGTGAGTGAATCTGACGATCTTTTCATTCCGAGTTGTTTGTATTTGGCTTGCCGGGCAGTCACCATACCTATCCGTTGGCCAGATTACTACTGGGTCATTAGGTTTTTCTCCGATTGATTTTGAATCGCTGTTCATATATTAGAGAACTAAGCACTTAGTGTCGAGTTCCTTTTATTTTCCACCAGTGGTTCACTTCCTGGGACATTAAATTGGTCTTTGGAATAGTAATAGCATTGGGAGGAATTGAGGGCATGTGTCATCCACCCAGTTTCTCAGAAGGAAAAACATATTATAACTGTAAGTAATATACAGGGTGGGGCAAAGTAGGTGTGCAGCTATTCATATGGAAAACAGTACAATAATGAATAAATAATAAAACAAGAAAAAACTCTGGTGTACTCACAACTGTAAACCTACATTTGCCTGCCCAGTAACTTGCAACTAACCATACATAAAAGTTGCTAAGTGGATTATGAAATATCAGCCTTGGTTCATTTAACAAAAATATGTGGAGTACCTACTGGGTGCTGGATGCTGTTCTAGGTACAGAGATTACAGCGCTGACCGAAACAGTCAAGACCACTCTGTCATGGGGATGATGTACCAGTGAGAGAGTCAACAGAGGAGAGATATCTTGAGATAGGGATAAGTCTATGAAAGAGTTGAAGTGGAGGTGACCGAGGGTGGTGTGGTGCTGAGCTGGTTTAGATTAGGACACCAAGGAGGGCATCTCTGAAGAAATGACTTTGTTTTGTTTTTTATCCTCACCCGAGGACATTTTTGCATTTATCCTTAGACAGAGCGGGAGGGAGAGAGAAAGAGAGAGAGAGAGAAACATCGATGCAAGAGAGACACATCGAGTGGTGCCACCCACACGACCCCAAACAGGGCCGGGGACAAACTGCAACCAAGGTACGTGCCCCTAGCGGGAACCGAACCCGGGACTCTGGTCCACGGGCTGACGCTCTAACTGCTGAGCCAAACCAGCCAGGGCTAAAGACATGACTTTGTGTTAGGACCTGAGGGCTGAGGGTAAGAGCTGGAATTACCTGGAAGAGGGAAGAGCACATGTAAAGGCCCTGAGGTAGGAGCTGAGGTCACGACACCAGCACAAGCCTCAGTAGAAGGGAACTTCGAGGTCCGGGGAGGAGTTCAGGGGTAGCGCTGTGGGCTACACGAACCCACTGGACCGTTTGTGTGTGAGGGGATTTTGCTTTTTCTTTTGGAAATGTCTAAAACTAAAAGTAGAGAGACGATATGAGGAACCATACACATCTTCACCCAGCTCAACAGATACCAACATTTCACCAATCCTCTTCCATCTATACTACTTTTTTTGGTGGAGGGGCTGGATGTTTTTTCCTTTCCCTGCCTCATTCTTTACATTAAAGTATAAAAAATACCAAAAAGTGCACAAATCTTAAGTATACAGTTCAATGACACGCACTACCTGAGCTCGTCTGTTTAACTGGCACCCAGATCTAGAAACTGAATACGGCAGCAACCTGGGCGTTCCCTGGGATCCTTCTAGTCTCTACCTCCCAACACCTAACATGCAGATGGATCAGAAAAGGAATATCACAGGATGTTCTCTACTACGACCAGCTTCTTTCACGTATCATTACACTCGGGAAATGTATCCCGCTGTGTCACTCAGACTGTAGACTGCGCGTTCTCAGCACTGTGGCCTTCCACAAATCACAGTGTAATACCCCATCCACTCGTTGGTGGGTGCCCGGCTGTCTTCAGGTTCTGGCTATTCCAAATGGTTCTGCCATGAACATTCTAGCACATGTCTTTTGGCCAACACCGGGATGCACGCGTGGTGGCTCGTACCCAGGCATGGAATCGGCTTCAGTGAACAGTGCCTGTATTCATATGCCGGAGCTGCCATGACAGAGAACCAAGCCTGGGTGTCCTAAACAACAGAAAGCTGTTCTCTTACAGTTCTGAAGGGTACCAGTCCAAAATCAAGGTGTTGGCAGGGTCGGTTCCTTCTGAGGGTTGGGAAGGGCGGATCTGTCCCAGGCCTGTCTCCTTGGCATGTAATGGCCATTCTCTCCCTGTCTGCACGTCTTCGTTCTGTGCGTGTCTGTCTGCATCCAAATTTCCCCTTTGCATATAGAAACCAGTCATCATGGGCTACGGCCCACCCTAGTGACCTCATTTTAACTGGGCCATCTGCAAAGACCCTATTTCTAAGGTCACACTCTGGGGATCTTGGGGAGCGATGCCAACATATCCTTTTTTGGGGGGAACGCAGTTCAACTCATAACAGTGCCAAAGAGTTTCCCAAAGTGGCTGTTACTTTCCTCGCCTCCCAAGTGCGGGAATGCTTTAAAGTTCGTTCCAGACATGATACTGTTTGCCTCAGAAGTGTTTTATTTATTTTTTAAAATTCTTTTTCTTTATTGGTTTTAGAGAGAGAGGAAGGGAGAGAGAGACACATCAATGAGGGAGAACATCGATTGGCTGCCTCCTGCATGCCCCCCACTGGGGATCGGGCCCACAACCTGGGCAGGTGCCCTGACCGGGAATTGAACCGGTGACCTCCTGGTGCATGGGTGGACGCTCAATCTCTGAGTCACACTGGCAGGGCCTCAGGAGTGTTTTAAAAGGAGGGAAGACTTGGTCTGATTTACATTTTAAAAAATTCTATTTGTTCCCTGGGAATGTAAGACAAGGCAAATATTTCATCAAGAAAGAAAAGGTATCAAAAGAGTAAGCCCTCCTGGGACAGCCCAGGTAGGACACTCCCGAAGCCTGGGGTTGGGACAAACTTCCCAGGTACTCTTAGCTCAGGGATGCCATTCAGACCCGTGTTCCATCCCTCACTGCCTGGCGTCAGGCCACCCTGTGCAGCACCCTGTGGGGCGCAGGTACAGCAGAGGGACTCAGGTTGTCTTTCTGTCCACCCCTCTCCTTGCCAGGACATACAGCAGCTCCTCCAGCTCCAGCAGCTGGTGCTTGTGCCGGGTCACCACCTTCAGCCACCTGCTCAGTTCCTGCTGCCGCAGGCCCAGCAGAGTCAGACAGGTAAGGCCCCAACCGGATGGCCTCCCTGCCGCCCCTAAAGAACTCCCTCTCCCCCCTCACCCTGTGTGTTCCCCCTTGTCTTCCTAGGCCTGCTACCGACACCAAATCTATTCCAGCTACCTCAGCAAACCCAGGGAGCTCTTCTGACCTCCCAGCCGCGGGCCGGGCTGCCCACACAGGTGAGTGTCCACCGAGTGTGCCAGGCTGGGCCAGCAGCAGGGCCTGCGGAAGGCTGGGTGGTTGAGGGGGGAGGTATTGGGGGGAGGATCTCCTCTCCATTTGGCCCAACCCACAGCCACAGGAGCCAGGACAGGAACTGGGAGACCCAGAACCCAGTCCTGTTCTGCTAATTTGCTGTGGAACCCAAGGCACGCCACTCCCTGTCTGATCTGCCACAAGAATTTTAAAAACGTGCTATACCTGACTATTTAGTCAGGGGTACTGACCTCTCTTCCCTTAGATTGTAAAAAAAAAAATGACAGCAGCCAACACAATAGCTGTCTAGTGTGAATGAATCAAAATTACACCCATGTTTTTTGTCAGATTGGCAAAAAAAAATATGTTTTTTGGTGAGACGCAGAATTTTAGTCATTAGTCTGTGTGTGCCATAAGATGAAAAAGGTTGAAAATGGCCGCTCTGTAGAATGAGGGGAGTCAACCAAACCAGTGGCCCTTAACCCTTCGGGCACATGGACTCCTTTGAGAATTCGATGGAAGATTTGGATCTGACCCCCACCACCCCTGAGCGTGCATATGCACAGATCCAGGAAACGAGGGGGATTTGAAAGCCTTTAGGTACAAGTGCCTTGGGTCTGTTCCAGGAGTCCAAATGGAAGGTTCTCTGAGGAAGGGCCTGTCAGGTACTAATGCACATCCCCTTCCAGGCAGGCACTGAAAATGGGGGCACAGATATGTTTTATTTGGCCCACACCATATTTTAAAAATTGAATTAGTTAACAACAAAATTTCCAGGAAACACCAGATTCCCCGCTTCTCTTGACAAACCGGAAACTCTGGCAAAACTTATCTGTGTCCATGTGGCGTGGTGGCAGTTGGCAGCTGGCCACTGGCCACAGCAGGGGTCCCCTCAAGCAGGGTGTGAGTTCTCCAGGCCTCCTCGGCCTCCTCCTGCCTGGTCCCCGTGGTCTTTCTTGGCTTGCTGCCTCCGTTCTAGACTTTGATAATAATCTTTCATAATCCTTTACAGATTTCAAAGTTCCCTTCTACCCATTTTTTGTAACAGCCCTTTCAAAAAAAGATATGAACTATTTAGAAAACTCTAAAAGTTTAGAGACTAATAGAGGGCCTAACTGCAATTCTGAAATCCAAAATTGCTCGGAAAATCAAGCTGTTCTTGTAACGTGGGCACCAGAAGTCATTTGGCTGCAAAACCTGTCTTGACCTGACACAGGGCGGTGAGGGCTTTTCTTCATCCCTCTTTTGTGATTCGGGCTTTGTTGAGGGCTGTTAATGTGTCCGATTATGGGGTGATGCCTTGGCCCTGATTGGGAGGGTCACATCATCTATGATATATGCCCATGTAGGCTTTCTAAAATCTGAAAAATTTCGGAATTCCAAAACAGATCTGGCCCCAGGGTTTTGGGTAATGGATCAAGGACCTGTGTGACGAACCTCCCTGCACCTACCACTTGCTTCAGATCTTTTGTTTTTGGGGAAATAAAGCATTCCAGAAAGGGCTGTTGCTTCTTTGTAAATTCCCCAGTTTCCCTTCCCATCTATTTTTTAATACTTTTACTTTATTTGCAACCTACCCTTTTTACACCAAGTTTTCCCAACAATCCCATGCAGTAGGTAGAGCAGCTGTGATTGTCCCCATCCTGCAGAGGGGGTAACTGAGGCCCTGAGAGGTTGAGGTTTGCCCGAGTTACCCAGCAAATCTGTAGCAGAGCCAGTCCAGACTCCTTGCGGGAGAGGAGGACTGAATCACCGCCCCCAGCCCCAGGGAAAGAAAGAGCCCTTGACAAGAACCCGACTGCTCTCCGGGAGTTTGCAGGCTGGGAGGGAATCTGCAGAGTTGCAGCAGTGAGAGGCCCCACGGAGGGCAGCCCATGTGTAGGGGCAGGGGGCCTCTCGTGGGTAGGTGGAAGGGAGTCTGCAGGAAGAGGCTGGAAGGCAGGGAGGGAGGGAGAGAAGGGGACTGCGCAGCCAGTGCTGAGCCCCATCCTGGTCCTCCGTCCCGCATCCCGCCCACCTGCCCGCTGCACCAGGCCGTGACCCGCCCCACGCTGCCCGACCCGCACCTCTCGCACCCGCAGCCCCCCAAATGCTTGGAGCCACCATCCCACCCCGAGGAGCCCAGTGACCTGGAGGAGCTGGAGCAGTTCGCCCGCACCTTCAAGCAACGCCGCATCAAGCTGGGTTTCACACAGGTCTGGGGCCACCCGAACCTGCGGTGGGCGTGAGGGTGAGGGGGCCAGTCAAGCTGGTGGGCGGAGCCAGGGCAGAGCCCTCTAGGGGGCGGGGCGAGGAGCAAGGTCGGCTGGTGGGCGGGGCGAAGGCAGAGCCCTCTAGCGGGCGGGGCGAGGAGCAAGTCGGCTTGTGGGCGGGGCGAAGGCAGAGCCCTCAAGCGGGCGGGGTGAGGAGAAAGGTCGGCTGGTGGGCGGGGCAAACCCAATACCCGAAAGCCCCGCCCTGACCTCCGCCTTCTCCTTGCCCCAATGGCCCAGGGTGATGTGGGCCTGGCCATGGGCAAGCTCTACGGCAACGACTTCAGCCAGACGACTATCTCCCGCTTCGAGGCCCTCAACCTGAGCTTCAAGAACATGTGCAAACTCAAGCCCCTCCTGGAGAAGTGGCTCAACGACGCAGGTGGGACTGGGGCTCCCAGGTGGGCAGCAGGCACAGGGTCGGGGGAGGCGCCCTCTCATGCCCTCTCTCCTCCCCGGCACAGAGACTATGTCTGTGGACTCCAGCCTGCCCAGCCCCAACCAGCTGAGCAGCCCCAGCCTGGGTTTCGATGGGCTCCCTGGCCGGAGACGCAAGAAGAGGACCAGCATCGAGACAAACGTCCGCTTCGCCTTAGAGAAGAGTTTTCTAGCGGTGAGGCCTCATCCTGGGCAACCTGGAGGGCTGGTGGGAGAGTGAGCCTGGACTAATGAGCCCTCTGCCCGCAGAACCAGAAGCCTACCTCAGAGGAGATCCTGCTGATCGCAGAGCAGCTGCACATGGAGAAGGAAGTGATCCGCGTCTGGTTCTGCAACCGGCGCCAGAAGGAGAAACGCATCAACCCCTGCAGCGCGGCCCCCATGCTGCCCAGCCCGGGGAAACCGGCCAGCTACAGCCCCCATCTGGTACCAGAGCTGGGGGTGGGGTGTGGGGGACACAAAGCTCTGCCACCTCCTTGCCCCTCAGCAGGCACCTTGTGTGAAGCACAACCTACCTGGTTGTCCACCATGCCGAACAGAGGCAGGGAGAGTCACCCTTGCAGACAGGCTATCACATGGGTGGAGCACTGTCACCCAGGGACAGTTTCCAGGGAACTGTGGTCTTATGTGGAGGTATACAAGCACCCACACATACCAACATAGCCAAACAGCTATCACAGGACGTAGTCACACAGGGATGGATACTAGGTAAGAGATGCAGGCACCACCCCCTACACACACACACACACACACACACACACAGGTTCACAACCACACAGACACAGGCAGGGACACTATTACATCCCTAGGTGTGCACTCAGTCTATAGCTGCATACAGACCTGCTCGGGATCAGACACACCAGGACACCCCTTTGTTCCATCTAGTGTGGAAAGGGCTGTGACACTACACAGACGAGCAAGGGGTCCAGAGGAGCACCCCCCATGATGTGGAGGAAAGAGAGACCATCTGAGTTAGTCATAAAGGACAAGGGAGAGTCAGCCAGCCACATGAAGGACATGTGGCAAAGGAACTCAGGTACACAAAAGCCTAGAAGCCAGAGTGTGTCGAGCCCAATTTGAGGAACTCCAGTACAATTCAGTGTGGTTGGAGCTGGGATGTATTGAATGAATGTGGGGAGTGCGTGTAGTAGGGAGTGGGCAGGGGCCAGACACCCAAGTTACATGCTGAGGAGCTTGAGTTTGAACTTGGGCAGCGCAGAGCTAAGAAGGAGTTTTGAGCCGGGGAAAGACAGGGTCACATTTAGAATGAGGCTTCTGGGGCTGATGGAAGGATGAGACTGGAGACGGGGGGGCCAAGGAGATTGGCGGATGTTCCCAGAAAATCAAGGCATGTGACATCCCAACACTTATGCAGAGACACAACTTACCTTCATACCCCCGCCCCCACACACTTCAGACCTATAACTAGATAGTGTCAGAGGAGAGGTGGCCCCTCAATTGGGAATGATTCACTCCTGCTGCTGGCTCAGGGTCACCTAGGGCACATGTGAAGAAAGATGGCGGAGAACACCTGGCACAATACAAACAGCACTGTATCCAGAGCCCCCTTCCTCATCCTGGGGGCGGAGGAGAAGGGACCATACCCACAAGGAGCACCACAGGGGTTGGTGGGAGACAGTGGCCTAACCATGCCTTCTTTCCTCTCTCCCTAGGTCGCACCCCAAGGGGGTGCCGGGACCTTGCCGATGTCCCAAGCTTCCAGCAGTCTGAGCACAACAGGTCAGGGAGGGCAGAAGACAGTAGGGGTGGGGTGTGGGGGGGAAACACAATGCAGGCCTGAACCCAAGGGTCTCAAGTGGCTCAGAATGTCCATGGGCCTCAAGGCTGAGCCTGGGGATGAGGGGGCAAGGAGGACAGAGGGGAGAGGGCAGACTCACCCCTTCAGGCCAGAGAAAAGCATGGGGTTGCTGAAAGGTGACGTACTTGGATTCTGTTCCTGGCATTTATAAACTGTGTGTACTACAGAAGTGACTTTACCTCTCTGGGCCTCAGTTTTTATAAAATTACTGTGAATGTATAATGCATGTAGAAGCTATATACAAGCCTATATACATAAAAGTGTCACACGTGTACACACACATACATGCACACACACACACATGCCCTTTTGTACAAAGCCCTCTCTTCCTGGGACAGGGCGTAATACACTGTACATAAGAATACTATTTTAAAAAACCCACCATATTGCCCCTCCCCAGGTTAAGAAATAATAAGTGGAGGTTTAAAAAATAGTAAGAGTGTTCCTGGCATTGTTCTAAATACTCTATAAAGAATATTGACTCATTTAACGCTCACACCCTTTTATTATCTCCATTTTCCTGATGAGGGAACTGAAGGCCAGAGAGGTGAAGGCGCTTGCCCAAGGGCACAGGTGAGACGTGACAGAGCCAGGAATTGCTGCCCTGGCTGTCTGGCCTGAGTCTGGGCTCTGAGCCCTCTCAACCTGCCAATTCCTGAGTCAAAAACCAGTGCATAGTCGCAACCGCCATGCCTGGCCCCTAGAGGGAGCCATAGGGCTTTGTCTTCTGGGCACCCCCAGTTCTTTTCCGTATAAAAGGATCCCTGGGAAGAGGTACAGGGCATGGGCTCAGTCACAGCTGCTCTTACTTCGGTGACTGTGATTGCTGTCACAGTGGCAGAGGCACAGAGAAATGGCCCTGGGGAGAGAGGGCAGGAGGCCCAATTCGGCTCTGACTGAGGAGATGCTGGGAGACTGAGGGTGGAGGAGGCAGGCAGGAGTCGACCCCAGGTTCCTGAGTGGAGGACAAGTGGAAGCTGAAGTCTCCCTCTCTCTGTCTCTCTCTGGCAGTTACTACCTTATCCTCAGCTGTGGGGACACTCCACCCCAGCCGGACAGCCGGAGGGGGTGGGGGCGGGGGCGGGGCCGCGCCCCCCCTCAATTCCATTCCTTCTGTCACTCCCCCACCCCCGGCCACCACCAACAGCACAAATCCCAGCCCTCAAGGCAGCCACTCGGCGGCTATCGGCTTGTCGGGCCTGAACCCCAGCGCGGGGTAAGTGGGCAGCTGCAGGTGGGGAGACTGGGGAGAAGCAGGGTCGCTGCTGCTTCCAGGGTGGGGAACCGAGCTCCATTCTGATGGCGGCCCCACCCCTGCTAATGCCTCTGCTTTGCCTCTTGCAGAAGCACAATGGTGGGGTTGAGCTCCGGGCTGAGTCCAGCCCTCATGAGCAACAACCCTTTGGCCACTATCCAAGGTGCGTGCTGCCTCATGTCACTCCCATGGTCACCAGCCCTGCCCTCACGGGCCTCGAACCCCTCCATTGCTGCTCCAGCCATGCCATCCTGCCCCTGCTCACTGCATTGCTCTCCTCTTCATACCCATCTCACCTTTGGGGAAGGTGTGAGGGTTGCTCATGGGGGTCAGTGGGGCTGATGGGAAGACAGGGGGCACTGCGGGCAGGATGCTGGAAGGCGCCCCAGCCCAGCCTCTCTCTCTCCCTGCCAGCCCTGGCCTCTGGTGGAACCCTGCCCCTTACCAGCCTTGATAGCAGCGGGAACCTGGTGCTGGGGGCAGCCGGTGCAGCCCCAGGGAGCCCTGGCCTGGTGACCTCGCCACTCTTCTTGAACCACGCTGGGCTGCCCCTGCTCAGTGCCCCGCCTGGCGTGGGCCTGGTCTCGGCAGCTGCTGCAGCTGTGGCAGCCTCCATCTCCAGCAAGTCTCCTGGCCTCTCCTCGTCCTCCTCCTCCTCCTCCTCCTCATCCTCCACTTGCAGTGAGGCCGCAGCACAGACCCCTGGAGGCCCAGTGGGGCCAGAGGCGGGGTCCAAGCCCGAGTGAGGGCCCCCATGCCTCCCTTCCTACTCCTCTGACTCCCACTTTGGTCCCCCGCCTAGAAGAGGGCGAGGAGGCCAGTGATGGGAATGTAGAAGGTCCTTGGAGCAGGAGTGACAAGGGAGGAAAGACCAAAAAATCAAACAACCAAAAAAAAAAAAAAAGAAAAAAGAAAAAAAAAGAAAAGAAACCAACAAAAAAGAAAACCAAAAATAATCACAACAGAAACCAGCTGCCCCAAAGGAACCAGAGGTGAAAAACAAACAAAAAACCAAAAACAGACCAAAAAACCCCCCACAAAACTAAACAAACCAAAAACCAGTTGCAAGCCAGACCTCAGTGTGCTCACCCTCAGCGCTAGGACACCAAATAAGAGCCCGCCAGCCAGGGGCCGAGAAGCCTCGCAGGGCAGACCTCACCCTGAGCCCCTGGCTGTGGGGCCAACCTGCAACTTTGCCTCCCCCAGTAGGGGCCAAAGAAGGAAAAAGAGAACATGCCAGCCTCCTAGCCCCAAACCCCAGCCCTGGGCCAGTGAAGACAGGGCACAGCCTGGGGCAGAGGGGTGGGCTCAGAACCACCTGCCAAATGTTCTTTTCCAGAAGGTGAAAGAGAAAGGGCCTGAACAACCTTACACCAAATATTCAGTAGCTTCATCCAAAGGATGTACAGAATTTTTAGCGTTGTGCTCAACAGAATGTGTCTCTACCATGCGTCCTCCTCTCCCCTGACCCCCAGCTCTCCCCACCCAGGCAGGGGGTCTTGCTTTAACCTCCTCCCTCCCCCAGCCAGGGAGAGTGCAGGGGAAGGCCTGGGATGACTTTTCACCCTTGTACCTCCCCCCTTTCCCTTTGAAGGGTGGGCTAGGCCGTTTTTTTTGCTAAGTTCTAGCTCTCACACATTCCCCCCTCACCGAGTCACCCTCCTCTGCTCTGGGACCTCCCCCCTCCCCAGCCCATGGGAAGGTAGAAGTTCCAGGCAAGAGGGGACAAGGTGAGGGCATCCGAGTTGTCTTTTTTCCCATCCTTGTCTGTCAGTTTCCCTGAAAAAAAAATTCATATTCCAGTGCCTATCCGTGGAATCCTTCACGTTCTTTGACATTGACCAGAAACCAAAAAGAGAACTCACTTCACTCCCCCCCACCCCCGTGCCCATCCGATACTGGCAGATGCCTCTTCCTCTCCCCCACACATGCAGACACGCATGCACCCCAGTGGTGGGGTTCCTCGAGATGGCCTCCCCATCAGGGTCCATGTGGCGGGGACAGTGCCATGACCTGTGGTCCCCATCCGAGAGGGCACTGTGGTGGCCACTGCTCCCTTGAGACCTCCCTCGAGTCCTGGCTGGACCCTGTGTTTGCTCAGCCCTGGACACATCTCGTCGACGGACAGAGGAGAGATGCCGCTGGGAGCCACTTTGCCCTCCTGCTCTCGTGGAGGCCAACAAAGTTTTGAACCAAAAACAAAAAACCAAACAAACAATAAATTAAAACTAGAAAAAAGAATTTATATATATATATAGATATATATATATATTTAAGGGAAAGAAGACGAGGACTCTTCAAGAATAAGAAGGAGCCGCAAGATGGAGCCAAGCCCTGCCCCAGTGGTCCAGGCCCTTGGTCCTCAAGGCGGATGGAAGGACAGATACTTCTTTCTCTTCACAAATACCTCATGGACGTCGTCTTTGGGAAAGCCGGAGGGGGGCGGCTAGGGCAGGGCCTGTCCCTCAGCCAGGGCGGAAGGAAGCGGGTGGGCAGGGCTGAGAGAGGGTGTCAGGGACTGGGGTGAAGAGCCCCATACTCCTTGCCCCACCCCAATCAACTGAAAAAGCTTTAAAAAAAAACAAAAACAGGAAAAAAGGAGTAAGAAGACAAAAAGAATGGACAAAGAAAAACTAACAAACTTTTGGGTGGTTTGATTCCTCCTTTGATTTTTCTATCCCGTCTGTCCCCGCTCTTCTGTGTCCTTTCTCTCTGCTCGCCACTCTGTCTCCCTCTTCTTCCTTCCTTCTCTCATCTCTCTCAATCTTGTTCTTTCTGTGTCTCTCCTCAAACCAAAGTGTTGCTGTGAAGGACGCGAGCCATGGAAATCAGAGTGGCCCCGCCCCCTGCGGGGCAGAGGGGAGCAGAGGGAGGGGAACCCCAGAGACAGTGCTGCTGGACACTCAGAGGAGAGGCAGACAGAGCTTCGGCTGCCACCCTGGGCCCTGAGGCCTCAGCGTTCTTTTTCTCTTGTCTCTCTTCTCCCACCCGGGAAACCAAACTATTGGGCTGGGCCACAGAGGCAGCAGAGACTCAGCTGTTGCAGGGGTCTGGGATGTCTTGTCTGGCCGCGGTGGAGTGGCCTCCCCTCCAACCCTGGCACCCATGATGGGGCCTGGTGTGCCATCAGCCTGTCCTCGCCAGAATGTAAGCATCTCCGCTGAACCAACTCCCCGCCCTCACCCTACCTCTGAGTTTGTCCATTTTTATTTCCTGAAGAGAAGAGACTGTCGAGAGGGCCTGGGCCCCAGCTTGAGGGTGGAGAGGGGGGCCAAGGGCTCCTGAACAGACAGTAAGGACATTTGAGCAGAGCAAAGTCAAGGAGTTACAACCAAAAACCCCTCCGAGAAGACAAGCAGCATGGAAGGCATGGTGGAGATGACAAAAACTATGATTCTAGACCCCAGAAAAAAAAAAAAGAAAAAAAAAAAGAAAAGAAAAAAATGGGGAAAAAAAAAGGAAAAAACATCCAGGATTCACCACCCACTTCATCCTGCTTCCTCCCCATCAAGTCCTGCCACCTGGGACCTCTCCCCCACCCCAGTGTGGGGGTAGTGGGGCAGACAGCAAAGGAGGAAGTAGGGGGCAGGGATAGGGCCAATGCCCTGACACTGGTGGAGGGGCCCCCATGCAGGTGGGGTGGGTGGGGTGGTGGGGACCCTCCCCATACAACCCCTATAACTGGGAAAAGAAAAACAAGAAAAAAATTCCTGGGAGGGGGGAAAAATAACCAAATCCCAAGCTTTAACTACAGCTGTGAAACCAAATATTGGGAAGGGGGTGGGAGGGAGGGAGGGGCAGGTGTGCCCCAGGTCTCCCCCCTGGGCCCCCCTCCCCCGAGGACTCGAGATAAGGCACCAAATACCTCATAGAACTTTAATGTTAAAAAAAGGAAACCAAATATCGTTGGCTGGGGGCCAGCCAGGGCAAGGGGCTGGGGGGCAGGAGGGAGCCAGGGTTGGGAAGGTGACGGGGGAATTCATGCCCCCCACCCCCCTGTTGCCCTTTCCACTCCAGTCCCCCGTCTGGACTCCGGGAAACAAAACTATCTCATCGTTTTTATTTTGTGGTCTGTACAGAGCCTGTGTCCGTGTGTCTGTGTGTGAGCGAGAGAGTTGAAGGGTTGGGGAACATTATATGGGGACTGGGGAGGGAGACCCCGGGCCAGGCTCTGGGCTAGTTGAGATGTCTGAGGTGAGAGGCCAGGGGCCTAGGCTAGAAAGAGAGGAAGATGAATGGATTGGAAAAATGGGGCAGGGGAAGTCCTCTGAATTTCTCTTCTCCCCAACCATGACCACCTACTTGCGGGAGGGACAGAGACTGGGTCTACTCTAATGGTGGGCCTCTTAATTGTGCCAAAAAAAAAAAAAAAAGCCAGTAACTAAAACACCTGTCTCTGTTCTCTTCTGGGAGGGAGGGGCAGGGGTGGAAGTGGGGGTGGTTGGAGATGGGGAACCCAGGCCCCTGGAAGAGTTGGGGCTAAGATCAGGAGGAAGGGGAAAGATATTTCCCACACATTTCCCTGGGAAGAGCCAAGAGGGAGGGTATCCAAGTCCCACAGCCAAGCCACGTAGGGGTGACCTCCTGACATGACTAGACTTCCTCACCCACCCAGATCCCAGGATGCCTCTCTCCCATTTAGCCCAGGGTAGGGGGAACTGAGTGAGAGAGAGAGTGAAACAGACTGAGCAAGACTGAGACACGCGGGCCCCCACTGGCCTCTGAGTGGGAAAGGCAAGTGCGAGAGATAAAGGCCTCCAAGAGAAAAAAGAAACAAACCAAAGATTTAACCATTAAAAAAAAAAAACCCACAGACAACTCCGCTACCTTTTTATACGTTGGAAAAAAAAGTGAAAAAAATTAAAAAATAAAAATTAAAAAAATACACAAAACAAGCCGCAGTTCCTTCGTGCGGTTTGAACTTTGACCTCAGCAGTCTCCAAAGCAAGATGACGATGACAAAGGCGAAACAAAAAAAGGAAAAAAGAAAAAATGATGTATATTTTTAAGTATTTGTCCTTGAGAAGTTAGCTCCTTGTTAAACACAAAAAGGAGAGAAAAATCCAGACAGAAGTGTTGCTGGGACGGAGACAACTATTTACTATGTCTGTGACCCCTCTCTGCCTCCCACTTCCTCTCCCCTCCCCTTTCCTCTATCCCTGCTGCTCCCCCCCAAGCCTATCCTCCAAGCCCAGGGGCTCAGTATTTATTTATTTATATAATTGCAGGGTGACTGGGGGCCTCTCTCAACAACTTGTGGAGAAGGCCTTTGGATCATGGTGGGTGGGGAAGGGGCAAGGAGTCTTTGGGGAAAAGCAGGGGCCTGATCTTTGATCAACTCCTCTCTGCTGGCTCCTTCCTGGCTTCTTATCCCACTGCTGCCACCATCACCTCCCAAATCCAGGGCTGCACTAGGGCAATGTGACACGCCCGCCCCCCCCATATAAAGATCTGATTGGCTCAGCTTTTGCTGGGTGGGTGTCTCTCACCTACTCATTTGAATGACCGGGTTGGAATGGGGATGGGAGGAGGTGGCAACTAATGGGCATGGGAGACCAAGAAGTGGCATCTGGAAATTGACTAGGTCCTGGAGACCTGCCCTTCCTTCATTCTCACCAAGTTAGCCCCCATTTCAGTTCTGTCTGACCCCTGTGTTGGTAGCCCCTTCCTTCCCATCCTATACCCCCTTCCTGTCTCTTCTCGTGGTAGCGGGTTAGCGTTTCAGTGTTCTTAACTCCAATCTGCTTGTTCATTGTACA